ATCCAGGGTGACTTCCAGTCTCCTGGTTGGTGAGGACTGCACAGAACTTTGGAGGAGGACAGGTTAGGCTCCGCTCATGAGGTGGCCGAGGAGGACATGGCATTCTCATTTGCCTGTCCTTCCACATGGCCAACTTCTGCTGGCCCTCCCACAGCCCTTGAAGGCTGCACATTCCCGTTCCTCATGGACAGAAGTGGACACAGGCTCAGAGGCCAGAAGTACTACCCCAGGCCACACGATTCAGCTGGTCACAGTGTCTTCCCTGAACCTGCACGATTCAGACCAAAGCTTTCTCTGGGGCTGGCGTGTGTTACCCAAAGAGGAAATGTCTCCTTGAATTTGGTACTCTAGGCACTTCACTCGACTCATCTTAACTCCAGCCCAGCCCTGTAAAGGAAGTAAGTGAAAGTCACTCCTATTCACAGCCTGTTCACCCACACCCACCTAGGTCGTTCTAGGCGATCAGACACGGGTCCTGTTCTCCAGGAGCTGCTATCCGATGGAGGAGGCTGACCCTTAAACAAAATCACGACCGTCAGAGATCAAAGCAAACAGTGCAGGCAAAAGGAGAGCCCAGATGGAGGGGCCCCTGGGATGAGTGGGTGTGTGTGCCCAGGGAGGGGTTCCAGGAGAAGAGGCCCCACAACTGGGCCTTGGAGGGTGAGGGTGTGTTTGGCCATTGGCTATGCCCCCAAGAGAACACCCCTCTTGGGCGGGGCACTCCACTGTCCCACAGAGAAAAAATTGCAGAGAAAAGGGGGAGGGGGCTCGTCAGATTCTTTCTCGCAGCCTTCAGGTGGCGCCCTTGAGCCATGGAGCCGCAAGCGCCAGAGGAGACTGTCCCGACCTAAGGACCTCAGAGAGGACCCGGGGTCCTACCTGGGGGCTGTGGGGGGGTGGGGGGTGGGGGGAAGGGGAAGTGGGAGAGTGGGAGTGAGGAGGGGGCAGGCACCTGGGCTTGGGGCAATAGGGGCTTTCCAGTGGTGTGGAGAGGCAGGCGGCGGGGGAGGGGTGTTCTGCAGCACCCCCCGCCCACCCCGCCCCTACGCCCGGGGACCGCGGGCTCGAAGCCCCAGTTCACTAAGCCCAGGCGCTGGCGATCCAGATCTGCCTGGAGGGGAGGGGAGGACGATGGATTGGAACCCCCGCACCCTCACCCCAGACCATCACACGCCTTCCAGTCCCTCTCTGTGCTAACTCTCCGGGCGTCCTCGCCGGCCGCGGGCGGAGCTCGCTCCGCGGCGCTCGGCGATCCCCGGCCCCCGCCCCTTCTCCTGTCCCTCTGTCCCTGGATCCCCCCCCAGCGGCAGCCACCGCCGCCGTACAGCTCCGCGCGGCGCAAGCAGGTACGTGCGCCTCGGCAGCTGCTCCGGGCCGGGCCGGGAAGGGGGCGGGAGACCGGGAGGGCGAGGCAGTGGCGGCCAGGCCCGCGCCCTCCGGGCTGCGCCGCAGGAGAGACACCCGCAGGCGGACGCCGGCTGCAGGAAGGCGGACGGGCACTGGGAGGACGAACCCTCGCCCGCCGGGCGCCCTTCGCCCCCGCGTGGGGAGGCAGGGAGGGAGGCCCGGCACAGGTACGCACGCGGAGAGGGGACTGCCGGGGGGCGGCTGGAGGCCGAGGGCCGGGGGCGGGGAGTGGGGGCGAAGGACAGTTAGCCTGACCTCGCGGCCCGCCGAAGGACATGCGGCCAGGGGACCCGGCCTCCCCGGGCCTCCGCCTGGTCCGATTCGGCCTGCCCTGGCCCGCGCCTATGGTCAAGGGCAGGAGCAGGGGGTGTGGACTACGGGCCGGCGGGAGCGGGCGCAGTGGGCAGCCGGCGTGCTGGGGCTTTCTGCGCGCAACTTTGGGTACAACAGCGTGGACCTGCGTGTGCGTATCTACGCGCCCCAAGGCTTTGTGTACAACTCGTGCGTGTGTCTATCGATTGGGTTTTGTGAAGCTTCATCCACAGCCGCTGTGCGTCCCTCTCTCCGGGTGTCAGTGCGCGCGATGGGTGGGGTATTGGGCCCCTGCGGGTCTTGGTGGATCTGGCTTGAATCTTACTCCCAGGGGCACTTAAGAGGAGAGAGAGTGTGTGTGTGTGTGTGTGTGTGTGTGTACTCGCGCGTGCGTGTGACCAGTCCTGCCCCCTCCCAGGGTATGGGTAATCGTGTGGCTGGAAGATCTGAGGGTCACACTACGTGGCTTCTGGGTGTCTGTGGGTACTGCTGTGGGAACAGCTGCTGGGGGAGTGAGTGTGGAACTGGAGTGTTCCTTTCAGGACCTGTCTGACTGCAGATGAAATTAGTGACTGGTGGGGTCGTGGGGTGTGAACGGTGGGCAGGAGCAGCTGTGTCAGTTGGTGTGTTTCTGTTTCTGTTTGGGTAATTGGGCACGGCCTTTGTGTAACTGGTGAGTATCTCTGAACCTGTGCATGAAACAGAGAGATGTCCTAACTCTGGGTGAGAGGAATCCTCTTTTTTCTCTGCCCTTTCACTGTGGCATCCTAAGAAAAAAGTTTTGGGGTCCTGCAGCATGAAGGAGAGCCCTGCTCCCAGAATGTGGGAGCCCCAGATTTCTTCCAGGTTATGGAGGCATCAACATGTCAGTCTGGGAAAGGGGTTTCTGGGCCACTCCAGGAGCTGAGTTGGGTGGAAGGTGCTGAGGGTGTGGTTGGGGGCCACTTCTGAGCACCCACATGGCACCCACTGCTGGTACCTGTTTGTGGCTGGGCACTCAGGAAAATATTTTTGGTGCTAAGAGTAAAAAGCCAACCAACAAACACATCTTTTTTTTCTGTCTATTCACTGGAAAGTAAGAGGAGTCTGGGCCCAGGCTGGGGACCCAGATGGAATTCAAACTTATCCCTGCTCTCAAGGTGCTGAGGGTTGCTGAGTAAATGGAGAGAAGTGATTCCGGGGATGGTGGGGCGGATATCTAGGGTGATTCCTGTCCCCCCCCGGTGGAGGCTGTTGGGAGGGATTGGGGGGGGGGGGTGATATGAGATACTCCTGCGTGAAGTGTCGGGTACACGGCTTAACAGCTAGTAGGTGCTTGGTAAACATTTACTAAAATGGGACTCTGGAAAGAGAGATGTAGTGATAGAAACGGGTTGTAAAGGGAAAGGAGCTTTGTACTCACATGAAAGGCCCTATATGTGCTAAGAGGAGGTGTCTGAGGCTAGTCCATATTGACAGGAAGGTCAGAAAGATTGAAAAACATGTCTTCCTGCACTGAGGCTCTTTGAGTTTCATTCATTCATTCCATTCATCCTCACTTCATTTGCTCATATTTACACATACACACACACAGACAGAGAGAGAGAGAGAGAGAGAGAGAGAGAACCACAGTGCACTGGAGAATAAACTCCAACATGAGAATGCAGAGAATCATGTGTGTGTGCATGTATGTGTGTGTAGACACACTGGAGCATGCGAGCCACTTTGCACCTGGGGGTCTCTGTAGTCCGTGGACTTGTGTGCCTAGGGCTCTGAGTGTATGTGCATGTGCCCTCAGGCCATCAGTATATACAAAGAATGATGCAGTTCTGCTGTGGATCAGGAATGACACATGCCAGGCAAGGAAGGGGGCTGAGGTAGGACCTGCCAGGGAGAGGCTAGATCTAAGAGCCCCGATTGCCAACTCCAGGTGAGTGTTATAAGGGAACGGGGGCCTAAGGTGGCCAGATTCTTTCATTTTGCAGGAGAAGCCAGGAATCCAACATTTAAAATGTAAAATCTAAAATCTTTTGCTAATTCACCAAAAACAAATGAACAGGCCAGGAACAAAACAAAGCAAAACTTCTGTCAGCCAAATATGGTCCCCGGGCTGTCAGTCAGTATCCTTCAGCGGGAATGCACATGTGCTGTCTGTGTCTGGGTGGGTGTGTGTTCAGGTTCTTGGGTGGGGTAAGTCCTTTTGCAGCACAGACAGTGTCCCTCTTCTCACCTCTCCCTCCTGGTTCCCCTCCTGTGGTCCTAGTCCAGGTCCCCACCCTTTTGTTTACATAAAAGCATTTGGCTTTGACCTAGTCATGGCTCTCCAGTCTGCCCCTTCCTCTTGGCCCTTTCAGCCATGCCATCCCCAACCTGCTGGCTTCCTTGCTGGACCCCCGTCCTCCACTTTGCCCACTCCCATCCCATCAGTCCTCCTTTCTTCTGAAGCCGAGGCAGATGTCAGCACTTCCCGCTCCAGCTCCTCAGCTCGCATGGCTCTCAGGCTCCTTGGCCTGGCTTTCAGAGTCCTTTGTGAGCCGGCCCCAGCTGGCCTCTGAGGCAGTCTGTTCCCCTTTCCAGAATGCCCTCATCACCTTCCATTGCTGGGAAATATCCAATTCATCTTCTGAGATCTGGCTCAAATGCCACCAACTCCCAGAAACTTCCCTTCCTCTGTTCCCACAACTTCTGCATTTCTACCCCCTCCCCCACCTCTGTCATCCTTCCCTCATACAACAAGGTTCATGGATTGCACTGGCCAGGGTCTTGCATGCACTATTTTATGAAATCCTCACAACAGCCTTATGAGGGAGGCATTTTATTCATTACCATTTTACAGATAAGAAGAAGACCGAATCTGGAGAGGTCACATCACTTGCCCAAGCTCAAGTGGTGAAGCTGGGATTTGAGCCTGATGTTCACGCTATCTACATTCCCTCCATCGTAATAGGAGCTCATCGCTAACACTGAGCACTCAGGGTTCTGAGCACTTTGCATAGGTTATCTCGATCCTACTCCAGCTTTGTGAACTAGAGGGGAGTAGTAGGATTATTTTATAGGTGGGGAAACTGAAGCCAAGACAGGATTAGTGAATTGCCCACAGCCATACCCCAGCTGGTGGTGGAGTGGGATCTGGGCCCGGATCACACTGTTCTGTCATTGTCTTATTCCCTGTCTTCCCCTCTGTCTGGCAGACACCCCCAAGTGGGAATTGTGCCTGACTCACCTTCATGTGCTTGGGGACTGGTGTGATGTCCTCCACAACAGGGAGAGGTTGCTACATTCAACTGACTTTCTGTTTTCTCTTCCAGCTGCCAAGGGGCCAAGGGATGAGCTGGGGCCCTCCTTCCCAATGGCATCTCCCCCTGGTCTGGAACTGAAGACACTGAGCAATGGTCCTCAAGCCCCAAGGAGATCAGCTCCCCTGGGCCCGGTGGCCCCATCCAGGGAGGGTGTGGAGAATGCCTGCTTCTCCTCAGAGGAGCACGAGACCCATTTCCAGAACCCTGGGAACACGAGACTGGGCAGCTCACCCAGTCCCTCTGGGGGTGTCTCCTCACTGCCCCGATCCCAGCGGGATGATCTGTCCCTGCATTCAGAGGAGGGGCCAGGCCTGGAGCCCGTGAGTCGCCCGGTGGATTATGGCTTTGTTTCCGCCCTTGTTTTCCTGGTGAGTGGGATTCTTCTGGTGGTGACAGCATACGCCATCCCCCGTGAGGCTCGAGTCAATCCGGACACAGTGACAGCGCGAGAGATGGAACGACTAGAAATGTACTACGCCCGCCTAGGCTCCCACTTGGACAAGTGCATCATCGCAGGCCTGGGGCTGCTCACGGTGGGCGGCATGCTCTTGTCGGTGCTGCTCATGGTCTCCCTGTGCAAGGGCGAGCTGTACCGCCGGAGGACCTTCGTCCCCGGCAGGGGCTCCAGGAAGACCTATGGCTCCATTAACCTGCGCATGAGACAGCTCAATGGGGATGGGGGCCAGGCCCTGGTGGAGAATGAAGTTGTCCAGGTCTCAGAGACTAGCCACACCCTCCAGAGGTCTTAAGTACTCCCACCTTATCTGGCTGCTTTAGCTCCAGTGCCACAAGATCTCCCCACACCCGCTCCCCCGCCAAGGCCTGGGGTTTCCAACTGAGCTCACATAGGGGCTTGTGGAAGAAGTACTGGGTACTGGAGGGAGAGCTCGGCGCCCAGCCCATGCCCCACATGGGCAAGCAGCCCACTGGTCTGTTTTGTAGCTGAGGTTTTGCATACGGTTTTGTTTGGAGGATGGCTTCTGCTGCTAAAAATACAAAAGTTTGGAAACCGCTGCTCTTGGAGGATGAGGTTTCTTGGCATTTCTGAAGACCGGGAGCTGTTTGAAAGGTTGCCCATCTCGTTCCCTCATGCCTTGGGAGTGAGGGACCTCTTCTGTCCTTATCGGCTGAGTGAGGGTGTTGAGGGGTCCCTTTCAGCCCTGACCATCTAAGGTGGGAGGTGGCTTCATGATGAGGGGAAAAGTCAGCACCAGAGTGACCCCCAGTACCCCCACTGACTAAACTGTGATCCTACCCTCACCAGGCCTCAGTTGCCCTGCCTTCAAGTGAGGGGGTTGGACTGGATGACCCCTGAGGTCCCTCTAGTTCTTCCCTGGGAATGGGAACCCAGTCTCTGTCTCCAGTCACCCCTCCAGGGGAGGAAGGCATCCACCAGGCACTAACCATTCTCCCTGCCACTTTCTGGCCTGACTTCAGGAACCACCACAGCCAGCAGCTCTCATGGTCTCAGGAAAGAGCTCCCTGGTGGGGTTGGGCTCAGTTCAAAGTTTGCGACAGCCTGGTTTTCGTCTTGGGGTCTAATTTCCTGCAGTGACACATTTTTACAAAGCCAAGTGCACAATATTCCCCAGTTCTTTGGGCAAGAAGGATCTTTTACACAGGAAAGGGTGAGGGCTTTATTGTATTTCTGTGGGCATGATGCAGGCCTTGATCACCTTCTCCTCAATAGTATGTCTCTTGCTCCTGACCTTATTTGGATAGCAGGAAAAAAAATTTTTTTATGTTGAATTTGTAACCTTAATCTCCCCCATATAGTAGTAAAGTGAAGCCACAGTTTATTCGGGGGAGAAATCAGGCACATTTGGGTGACCTAGACATGCTGGCCACATTGCCATTTGTTTTCTTCTTATGAAATGTTTCTAGGTTCCTGCAGACTCTCTTTAAACTCTTGATAAGGAAAGGAAGTAGGCCCTGGGGCAAGAAGACATAGGTGTTTGAGGACTGTGGGGAGGCATCCTTCAGTCTGAATGGCCCCAGAGGGCTTCGAGAGCACATGCCTTCTAAGCCACTGGTGTAGAGACCCTACAGGAGTCATTTTAGTGAATCCCCTGCCCAATGTAGGTCCTACTTACTCCATCTCAGTTGGCCACATGGGCCGAGGATCCTGTTTCTTGGGGATGGGAGGGTGGGGTGGGCATGGAGTCTGTAGGGTAGAGAGGCCCTGATGAGCTGTAACTTGAGCCTTCAGTCCAGTGAGTTGAACATCTGGGGAGTGTAATATCACAGCTTCTATGACAGATCAAATATCTGCTCCTACTGGTAGGTTTTACCAAGAGCTGAGAGCTAGAGGAAGGCTGGAAGGGACAAGGGTTGTTTATCTTGGCTTCCCAGATTTTTGTTGTGGTATTGAAGGGGTGTGGTTTGAAAAGAGCAAAGCTCCAAGATGGTAAAATACTGACAAGTCCTAGGCTTCCGCTGTTGTGTCGCTTTCTCCCAGGCTCCAAGCAGGCACAGCCACAGAACGTGGCATGAGCTGTTCTAAGTAAACTACAGAGGATTGGACATCCCAAATCATGGGCTAAGGCTTTTCAACCCATAATAATAATAATAAAAATATCAACCAAGTCATATGGATTACTGTGATGGTGGCAGACTCATTTGGATACTAATGATCTGTCATACCTGTTGAGTGAATGCATCTGGGACCATCAGTTCATATCAGTTTAAATGCAACGAGTTTACTTAGGGGAGAAATCAGACACATTTGGGTGGCCTGGACACGCTGGTCACATTGCCATTTGTTTTTTTCTTATGAAATGTTTGATGTTAATCATCAAACAGATTTAGGGGCTAAATCTGTTTGATGATTAAATCCCAGGAATCTCAGGTTTTTCTAAGGCAGAGAAGTCTGCTTTGCATTCTAATGTTGAAACTCCTTTAGAAAATGTGTATAATGGACCAAGGCAGTTATTACCTTGTCAGTGAATTAAGAAAGCTTGAGAGATGACAAAAACATTTCCCATGATTACAGCTGAGATCTGCCAGCTGGTGGATCAGAAACAGGTTTAAGAAGGAGGTGATTAGGAACACGGAGTAGGGTGCTGAGAACTTTCTTTGCAGCATCCCAGGGGCCCCTGTGGTTACTGAAATGTGCCTCTCCTCCAGCAACTGCCTCTCCCACCAGCCCGCTCCTAGGGCCCCAAACCTTGCTTCTCCTGGTGCATCAGAACAGATACCGATTTTGGAATTGGTAAGACTAAAGTTGGAATCCAGGCTCTGCCACTTACTGGCTGTGTGACCTTGGGCAAGTTACTCCACTTCTTTGAGTCAGGATTTCTCTATCTGTGAAGTGGGTTTAACGAAAGCTCTGCCTCAGGGTGGTGGTGCAGATTACAGATAAAATGGAGAACTGCATAGTATAAGGTCCAGGAATGATGATGCTGTCCCTCCCCACCTCAACTGGGGATAGCTGGATTAGGCCTCAAACGCTGTGGCCAACCCTTCTGCCTTTCTTCTATCACACCTCACATCCCAGATCAGCACATCTTGTCAGCTCCACTTTCAGAATCTGATCGCTGTCCACCCTCGGCTGTCACCTGCCAGTCCGGGGTTGCTCACTGGTGTTCTGGCTTTCTCTCTTACCCGCTTCTCCTCCCCTCCTCGCCGCCCCACCACCAGGTTCATCCTCCACTCAGCAGCCAGAGGAAGGCCAGAGGGTGGTCAGGTCATGCCACTCCTCTGCTCAAAACTCTCCTATGGCTCCCTCTCCAGGCAAAAGCCAAAATTCTCACCACAACCAGTGGCAGATTTATAGCAAGACTGGCAAAGCTTAAGTGTCCGGGCCTCTCTCCACAAGCCCCTTCCAAGGCCCTGAATTGATTTATCTATCTTGAAGATGCCCCCCCCCTGGACTGCATAAGCTTCAGGTAACCCCAAACCGGCCTACAAGGCCTTAAGCAATTAGGCCCCTGTGCTTCTCTGACCTTATCTCTCACCCCTTACCCCTTTGCTTACTCACCCCAGCCACACTTGCCTCTTGACCATTCCTCAACCTTACTGGGCACGCTCACATCCAAGGGACTTCAGACGTGCTGTTTCCTCTGCCTGGAAGGTACTTCCCCTCAATATCTGCAAGGCCCACTCCCTCACCTCCTTAGGGGCTTTGTTCAAATATCTCCTCCTCAGTGAAGCCTTTGCTGAACACCATATTTAAAATTGTACCCCACCCCACTTCATTCCCTTTTCTCCTTTGCGGCCTTATTTTTCTCTGATCACTAATCACGACCCAGCAGGCTGAGCCTTGTACTTGTCTTTCCCACCCACGACCTGCCCTACTGGATTGCAAGCTCCATGAAAGCCGGAATTTAGGTCTAACTGGTTCTTGCTGTACTCCCAGTGTTAGAAACATGTTTGGCACATTATAGGTGCTCATTGTTGAATGAGTGGATGAATACATGTAACAAAAGCTTCCTATACCTGCCGGTGCTGCAGAGCCATATGCAGGACCCAGAAGGCCCATGGCTCCTTCTCAAACTCCTGGAGCCCTCTCTAGGGGTGATGATCGGTTGTGCAAAGGATCACATGCCTCAAAGGCGCAGATTTTGTCAGTGGACCCTGTAGCTGGGAACTTGGGAACCCATTTGCCTTCCTCTCCCTGGGCCTTGGTAGGGCTTTATGTGGAAGGGTTAGAGGGGTCTCCCTCATGAAGACCCTTCTCCCCCAAACTTGTTGGGACATAGCCAGGTGCCAGCTAGACCTGGGAGACATTTGCTGGGTGTTTAGGGGCCTGTGAGATAAACCAACTGGATTCTTCCCATCCAAGGACCTTGAGTGCCCAGGCCTGGCCCTTTAGAACCCCAGTATCCATGATCACATCTACTCACTTACCTCAGGCATCTCCCAGCCAAAAACGCCAGCTGCCTGAGATTCCACCATTATTGCTCCCTTCCTTGAGAATAAGCATTAATTTCCCTGGGATTCTCTTTAAAATGTCCTCCCTGTATGTACATATCTATACACACACACGTGCATATGTGCATGAGCACACACATGCGCATGCACGTACACACACACACCCACACACCCACACACACACACACACACAGAGCTTTCTCTTGTCCAACCTAGCCCAGAGGCCAAGGACACCTATCTTGTAAAGCCAGGACATCCTCTGGATGATTGACGATATTTTCTGTTTCTCCACCAGCCATAGGCCTTGCAGTTCCCAGGATGCCAACCTCACAGCAACAATCAAGTTTCTCCTCCCCAGGTGAAGCTGGTTTCTCTGTATTCTTCCTGCTCCCCGCACCCTTAGCAGGATGGGGAGAGATGTCCAGAAGCGTTTCTGTCCTGGCATTTCTGGAGGGGACTGTGTGGTCCTGGGCTGGGAACCAGGAGAACTAGGTCCTGCTGGTCACCCCTTCTCCCTGTGGGCCTTTAGGCAAATGACTCCATCTCTCTGGTCTACCACAGGAAAATTGGAAACCTTCCCACTGTCTTCTCTGAAAGCTAGGGGATCAGAGAACACAAGCAGAGGGCTTTCCGAAGTTGAGAGCTTGGTACTCTGGGTCTGGAGAGCTTTGAAGGGGCAGGAGTAGGGGGGGGGAAGGGAGGCATTATTAAGAAGCCACAGGAAATGGGGTTCTGTGTCAGGTTCTGTCAGGAAGCACTCACAAAGTCAGGGAGGCCCTCCATCTGGGCCTGCTGGTCTCTCCTGGAGAATGGACTCCTTTTGATGGTCCCCAGGAGGTACATTTCAGCTAGAGAAAGAGAAACTCGCTGAGATCTG